CTCTCGGGGTTCTTCATGCCAAAATTATTGCTGCCATCACTCTCATGGGCCCTCAGTGGTGGCTGAAGACTGTTATTGAGCAGGTTGGTACTGGACACACCAAATATCCAACTGATACACTGTAAACATTTTTACAAACTATCAGACTCTTGACTACGTAACTTTGAAAGGGTTTTATTCTGTTGACTCACAGTGTGTAGTTTGCTAGTCTGTCTTCCCTATCTCTGTCATGTCTGTTTCTTGGAGATGAATTAAATTAACTGTTTAGTACATTATAAAGTGTAAACTCTTTCTCTAGGTTTATGCAAATGGAATTCGCAACATTGATCTCCAGTTCATCATCCGTAAACTGGCAGCTCCTGTCATTTCAGTCCTGCTGTTGTCTTTATGTGTGCCATATGTGATTGCTGCCGGGGTGGTACCGGCTGTAGGTGAGTATCTCTCTGCATATGGATCTTAAGGCGTCACTTGAAGAGTTTCCTAACCAAACTAGGACTTTCTCATTGACAATATACAGCACATTGCAGTCTTAGTGGCAAAAGAAATGGAAATTACTAACGGTTTCCTCTAGATTTAAGCTTTTTGTGAGTTCAGCAATAAACCAGAGGGGGAAAAATGTTTTAAAGGATGAAATTATAACCTCCGCACTCTGTCTCACTTCCCATTATTTTCTAAAATCACAATATTTCGGTCCAACCGACCATCATCAGTTACAAAAAACGATGTGTACAGTCGTGGCCAAAAGGTTTTGTCAATGACACAAATATTAGTTTTCGCAAAGTTTGCTGCTTCAGTGTTTTTGTGACGTATTGAAGTATAATTGCAAGCACTTCATAAGTTTCAAAGGCTTTTATTGACAATTACATCACGTTTATGCAAAGAGTCAATATTTGTAGTATTGGCCCTTCTTTTTCAAGACCTCTGCAATTTGTCCTGGCGTGTTGTCAATCAACTTCTGGGCCAAGGCCGACGATGGAAACCCATTCTTTCATAATCAATGCTTGGAGTTCGTTTGTCCACCCGCCTCTTGAGGATTGACCACAAATTCTCAATTGGATTAAGGTCTGGGGAGCTTCCTGGCAATGGACCCAAAATTTCAGTGTTTTGTTCCCAGCACCATTTAGTTATCACTTTGGCCTCACTTTGTTCTTCACCAAACTGTCCTTGGATAGTTGGAAGAAATTGCTGTCGGAGGATGTTTTGGTTTGGCGAAATTGTGAGTGACCCCACTCTCTTGAATGAGAAGCAGCCCCACAGATGAATGGTCTCAGGACATGGTAGCCTCACTTTTTTCTTCTCCAGGCTTTTTTGCAGAATATCAGTCTGTCCCCCATTAGGGACAGACTGATATTCTGCAAAAAAGCCTTAATAACAACAACATCCTTGCATGTGAAGCCCTTTATATGCAACACAATGATGGCTGCATGGGGTTTTTTGTTTTGTTTCTGTTTTCTTTTTGGCAGGTAACCATGGTTAACAGGAAGAACAATGATTTCAAGCATTACCCTCCTTTTAACACATCCACTCTGCTATTCTAACTTAATAGTCAAGACATAAAGATCTCAAGTTCTGTGCTCATCAACATTCTCACCTGAGTTAACTAGAAGATTGAAATTATCTCTGCAGGGCCTTTTATGGCAGCAATGAAATGCAGTGGAAATGTTTTTGGGGGTTAAGTTTGTTTTCATGGCAAAGAAGAACTTTTCATAACATTCAGAGTATATGGAAACTGCTGTCATAAAAACGGAAGGAGCAAACTTTGTGAAAACCATTACTTGTGTCATTCTCAAAACGTATGGCCACGACTGTACACAATCACTCACACACAATAATATGTTCTCTCCCATTCATCAAGTAGAATTCAATCATCCAATCAGGGAACACTTTACACATTTTTACACATGGATGCTATTAATTAGATAATGAAACTAATAAATACACTGGTTTTGTAATAAAAGCCTCCCCCAAAAAAGTGGCAGATTGTGACCTAGCTTCTGATTTGTTTGGGCACTGAACTGGTGATAAATCTGCCACTTGGACTTGTTATTGGAGATGTACCGTCACTAGGTAATAATTCTAATATAGTTATCACCTAATTTAACATAACTGGTGTCCCCAAAATATCACATTTCTTCTCATCTTGATGGAGTTAATGATAGGAATAATGGGAACTCTTGAAAAATCATATAACTGAGTACAATTATGCTTTGTTTTTGCAGGCGTTACCCCAGAGATGGAGATTCTAATGCAGAGGAGAATCTACCCCTTCCTCTTGATGGTCGTCTCACTTATCGGCATCCTCTCCTTTCAGATCCGACAGTTTAAACGTCTTTATGAACACATCAAGAATGACAAGTACGAAACTTTCAGCACTCATTACTCTGGAGAAAGCAACATGTTTTGTTTGTTTTGTTTGTTTGTTTTTTTAATTAAGTTTGTCTTATATTGACAACCTCCCCCCCCCCTTTTCTTTTTCAAATGTATCATTCGGTGCATCATTATAAAAACAAACTGCAG